GAGCTGGATTCGACCCCTGGCCCCCGCTTTGAGGACTAACCACTCCGCCACCGGTTCCCGAATGAGGCAATATCTCGAGAAAACAACTGAAAAGTTGTTTCTGTTATTACGGGGCTTGTCCTCTTAGAGCTTCAGTGAAATAAATTCAAATAAGAAAACTTGGACTGATATCGTTTTATTTTGAAAACCGAGAGAAGCCCTGAAACAGGATGATCTAATGTTTAAACTCAATGAACAGTCGTGGTTCAGCGTCCTGCGGTAAGAGGTCGCTCTGCAAGGCGTTCTCAGGCACAGTGACGGCCACCAGCCTGCCCCCCCCCAACCACACACGCACACACATACACACACACACACACACTCTTTAAATGGATCCGCAGCAGTATTTGACCCACTTCTATAAAGTGATTAATGTTGTGTGTCATTGAGAAACCGAGCGCTGCAGGATCCCCGGCCTTCCTACAACGCACACAAAGGCCACCGCTCACCGTCGTCATGGTGAAGCCAGTGGTAACAGGAAGCAGCCCATAATCTGAGTTTTCTCTTCTCCTCAGCAGCCAATGAAAAGAGTTCATGTGTTAGTCAGTAAGTGTGTGTGTGTGTGTGTGTGTGTGTGTGTGTGTGTGTGTGTGTGTGTGTGTGTGTGTGTGTGTGTGTGTGTGTGTGTGTGTGTGTGTGTGTGTTAGTCAGAGTTGGTGAGGAGCCGAGATCCACTGCAGGGTTAGAGACGACCTGAGAGGATTCATCCTCCTCTGTTTATCAATTTAACTTTCTATAATCTACCATCCAACCCTCCATCCAACTATGTACTAACCATTTTTTGCCCATCCATCAACAGTTTTTAGTCAAATGAATTGAAATATTTTAGTACCTTGTACCTTCAATTAAATGTTCCATTGATCTACCTGAACATCAACATTTTATTTCAAATAAAAGCATGTATGCATCCAAACAGGAAGTAAAGCACACTAAGCGTGAGACAGAACAAAAATTAAAAAAAAAAACACAACAAAAACGTTTCAAAATGCAAAATAAAGGAATTTCTAAAAATGTTAACTAAGCAAGGTTAACTATTGAAACTCTATGTTTCATCACGATTCTAAAATAATAATCGTTTGTCGGTCCTAAAATGAAGATCAATGGGATCCTAATAAAACACTCACAATCTTCATACAACAATCTCCATCTTTAACTCTGTTTGACTCGACGTCTCTTACAGGGTGAAACTCCCAAACAGTGTGCCGAGAAGGCCGATGACCAGGAACTGTCTGAATATCTGGAGAACCGCCAACATTACCAGATGATCCAGAGAGAAGACCAGGAGACGGCGGTCTAGAGTCCCCCTGTCCGTCCACACCTTCTGTCTGTCTCTGGCTTTCATTTCAGCGACATCTGTTCCCCTCACAAGTTTGCTTTGATCTCCATCAGATAGGGATTCTTCCACGATGAAGGTAGACACACTAACACGAGTAATCCAGCACACATCAGGATCGTTCAGATTGACTTTAAAGTTTTTCTCATTGTTCAAGTGAAGACGACCTGAAGAAGCAACCATGCGAGACGCGTTGTTCTATGTTTTATATGCATTCAAACTTTGAAGTCAATCTGAACATTCCTGATGTGCGCTGGATGACTCTGATCTTAAAGCCTCTAGCTGAACCCCGGATCAGAAGCACGGGAACCAAAACCATCGATCCTCAAACTCTGGATTATTTTCACTTTAATCCCCAAGCTGCTTTCTTCGACCGGAGATGACGCTTGTCATGCTGTGGACGAAGTCTAGTTTGTGGTCTTTTTTTTTTTTCTTTTAAAGCCTCAGTCCTCTGCTGGAGTCCAAACTAAAGAACATAAAACCCTCTGGACACTAACGTGATTCAAACTTCTCTTCAGGCCACAGAGACTCTCAGATCTCCTTCAAACTGCTTTTTGAATGTGTCTTTATCGACTGGACATCAGCGCCCTGACCTCTGTGTTCATGACAAAGACGTGTGAACACAAAGTGCTGCTGGAGTGAAACAACAGCAGCTTTGAGCAAACAGGGACTGTATTCATGCGTCTGCAGCTGAACACCATGGAACTAGAAGCTTCTGCCATATCAGATAGAGCGGCTGCAAAAACGTGTCTTCTTACGAGCTTATAGTGACCTTTTGGATGTATTTGTTTACTCAGCAGAAATAAGTGTTTGTTCAGACTTTGGATATTTAACTAAGACACATGAATTTATCTATTTATGAATTATTTGTAGAGATAAAAACAAGTTTCACTTGTGATTAAACAGAGAAGCGAGTTGTCCTCTGCTTCAGTCTGAATTTTAGATATTTCAGTCAATATATGACAATTTTTTGTAATGTTTTTGTCTGTTACATAACTTAAACGCTGTCAGCAGATGCTTTCCTTGTGATGTGTATCGACTGTATAAATAGCTGAGATGTGTTGGACACAAGCTGAAGCCTGATTCTGCCAAACGCCTAGCCTCTGTATTAATTATAATAACATAGCCTTC